CATACCTAACAGAAAAAAAAGGAAATCAAATAATTTTATGTCAAAAACTGCTGCATTCCCCACAAATGACGGTATGACTGTTTTCTTTTTAATTATCTAATAATTTTCTAGGAATGAGTCTTTGCCGTAATGACATCTTTGAAAACTCACTTTCAAGCTTAATTTTTAAATAGTTCAACCTGACACAATTACCTGTATGGATGTGTTTTAGATGATGATAACATCTACTGACTGAGCTCTGTTTTTGTTGTTACCTTTGCCCAGGGTATCCCTCAGAGTATTTATTGTTCAGACAGGAACCCTGTGCCTCCAGGGCTGCACGGCTGCAAAAATTCTGACAGGACAAACAAGCACAGTGTCAGCCTCTGCACATATGCCTTAAAAAAATCAGAACAGACAACCCAAATATAGCTTTATTTACCCAGAGAAGGCTTTGCTGCCTTAGACTGTATCCACAATATAAATTTAGCTTCCTTCATGCTTTTAGGTCGAATTAACTTTCACATTCCGCTAAAATAATCAACAAAAAAAACAATTGTTTTCTATGTTGTGGTAAAGATAACAAAAATTACTCTAAATAGTTATGTATTTTGTTTGCGTCTCATAAGTGGTTTTCTAAGGCTTTTTATCTAAGAGGGGAGGAAGCTGCAAAGCTGAATGCAAATGAATTTTCCTCCTTCTGACAGTCTTTTCTCTTCTCCCACTCTCACTTCAGCTTTCTTTTTTTTTTGTGTTCCCCTCTATTCTCTTTCTTTCCCTCAGCCACCCAACCCCCCAGAAGTCTTATTATACTAAACCTGTCACTGTTCAGGGATCCTTCAATCATCCTAGTGAGGTTTAAAACAAGCTGTCTTAAACTAAAATTCTCTCTGTGACATTTCTGAAAAACTATCTTGACACAAAAATACACACTCCAACTGAACTGCCCCTCCTCCTCTCAGAATAGGAGAGGGGATCAATAAAGAATATAGGTGAGGAAGTTAATAGGATAATATGACACTGTTCTAAAAAAGCAGGAAGCTCTCCTCTGGGAGTCAGCCTGCGGTAGTGAATGACTGTCATCAATCGCACATGAAAAACTTTTTTCTTTGTCTTTATGGATGATAGAGTTTTGGGTTCATAATTGCTGCTTAATAGAAGAGATGCAATTCAGTTAACATTTTTTATCTTCTAGTTAGCCTGGATTGTTTCGAAGGGATGACAGTTGAAGTGAAAACATCAACAGCATATCGAAAATACTTTGAGTCGTAAATATCTAAAGTTTGTTGACAGGTGATTTTAGAGCTGAGGGGGAATTTTATGCAACTCGTTTTGCTTTTCTTGCTTTTTGATTCATGGACTCTGTTTAAACTCTAGTTTTCCAGACAAAAGCCTTTTATTTGAACAGAAAAGCCGTGTCCTGAGCTGAATTAAGTTTAATGAGAAATTAAAATGAATTGAGTTAAAGGATCATATCAAAGCATTTCGACACCCGGTGAAATATTTAGATCTTTAGCAGATTTCTTTCAGTTGAGAATGTGCTGGTTGTTACAGTACTTAAGCTCCAAGATTGGCCTTGTTTTAATAATCAAGCAAAATACCTAGTTTCACCCCTTTAGTTGAGAAAACACCAATGAGAATATTATCATAGCTATCAACCAGTTTCTGACATCAGCCCCTCCCCTGCAGCTTATTTGCATCTATAGCTTGTTTCAAGTCACCCCACAGCATCTCACTGAGATCAATAGCTAGGCTTTAATTCACTCAGGACTTTTCTTTGATTCTTAAACAGCATAGTGAACCACATGCTTTCAGTCACTGTCATCTTTCAGGGTCAAGATCTGCTTTGAGTTTATCCATCCGTTTATCCATCTGTTTTCTGTCACGCTTATCCCAAGGCGAAGTACATCCTGGACAGGTTGCCAGTCTATCACAGGGCAACACAGAGACAAACAGGATAAACAACCATTCAACCATTCAAATTCACACCTAAGGAGAATTTAGAGAAGCCAATTAACCTAACAGTCATTTTTTTGGACTGTGGGAGGAAGCCAGAGTACCCAGAGAGAACCCGTGCATGCTCAGGGAGAACATGCAAACCCCATGCAGAAAGACCCTGGGCTGGGAATCAAACCCAGAACCTTTGTGCAGCAAGGCAGCTATGCTAACCACTGCACCACTGAGCAGCTCTGAGTTTATTCTTTAAATAATTGTCTCTCAATAATCTTTCTTCTGATTCACACAGAATTCATTGTCCATTCCTGCAAACCATAACTCTAGCACCTCCCTGCTTCACAGTTACCATAGGGTTTTATTCCTGAATACTCTATTTGTTCTATGCCAACTATATCTGTACTTTTAGCTCCATCTGTCCAGAGAAGTTCTAGTCTTTCTCTAGCCTTCCTCCGTATCACCTTATATGAACTGAAATGAATGACTGAGGTATAGTCATGGCACACCTTCTTTAAAATGCTGAGTAACACTTTACTAATCATGAGCTCCTGATATGATACTGCTTTGTACAAGCTGAAACCTTTTTAGTTACAATAAAGATAAACAAATTCTTCTCAGGAAAAAATTATTATTTAAGATTAAAATAATAAAGTGATTTCTTCTATTTCATTGTCTTTATTGCTAGATATTTTTCAGTATTGTTAAAACTAAAGTTAAACACCCTTAAGTCCAACTGTGTTAAAAAAAAAAAAAAAAAAAATTATTTTAAACCCAGTTTATGTATTAACATGGCTGCACTGTTGTGTATAAATGTCTGCTGCACAGAATGTTTATGGATTGATGGGTCTGCTTTGCTATGTTCAACCGGTGCAAACTGAGGTGAGGAAAAGCTCCATCAATGCACTGGAAAGAATCAAAAGCTAGATAAGTAATTGTTCCTTAAAATAAGTGCATGTGTTCTTGGATTGAGGAGGTAAGTGAGACACTTTGCCAATGGAACAAGACAATTTACACTTAAAATAAGAAAACGCAATTGCAATGTCTTATTTCAAGTGCATATTTTCTAATGATCTTATTTTAAGGGTAAAAATAATCATTCCATTGGCAAACTATGTCATTTACCTACCTTAATTAAGGGTAAATACACAATACAATTTTTACTTATTTTCTAGATTGCTTTTCCATTGTGGAACTGATAAGAGGAAAAACTGAACACTTATTCTCTAAATGCTGTTCTGAGTGGAGTTCACCTGTCCAAACCAGTTGTTTTAGCAGCACCATTTTCACACATGGACTGTGCATGAGTCCAAGCAAAGAGCAAATATTTAAACAGTTACATCTGAGGGTCTGCAGCAGACCAGTGTCCATCCCAGTTGCAGAACACATTCTGGTCAAGTTTATTCATTTTATTCGTGTTTATTGTAGTGCTTTCTGGATTCATGAAATATAAGGATCCATCTAAGTTTGTCTGAATTTTGCCCTCCCCCCCCTTTTAAATTTTGATCCTCCTTTGCAGCTTAACACTTTTTCCTGCAGCTCACAGTCTGCATTCTCACCTCAGATGCAATGAGCTCCAGTCCCCGACACTGCCTGTCCTTCTCTTGCTGCAGGAGACTCCACATCTCTGGGTCATCCTGGGCCAGACTCTCCTGTCCTGTCCACCTGCCACTGCTGTGCTTTAGCCTGCATGATTCTGAAGCAAGCTGCCCCTCTCTACCCAAACACCTTGAGAATCTGGGGAAGAGGGGCTTCAACACAGGACGGAGGAAGACAAACAAATCAGTATTTCATTTCCTAAGTAAACATGTTCCTTTTAAAGAATGAATGCTAAATCCTAGTAAAAAAAATCCTATTGTGTTTTATATTGTCCAGACAGAGTTTAAAAAAAAAAAAAAAAAAAAAAAGCAACGAGAAAGGTCTTTTGGTTTCTTTTAAAATGCTCAAAAAGGTTAGTGTTGGTGAAAAAAAATGCTTTCATCATTTGAAATGATTATAGTCTTCAGTCAGGTTTTGAATGAATGTGTTCGAATAATGTGTCTTTTGATGTTCTGAGCGAACCATTAGGTGAAAGGCAGGGCAAAAACAAACATGTCATTCAGCGGAGCAGTTATGGAAAACCTTGGACTTGTAAAGTCTATGCAGGCTGAACAGGGTCTTGTTTGTAGAAGCAGGTATGCATTATGTGTAACCAGGGGCTACTTTGCTCTTGCAGACAGTTCACTGCAAAAGTGGAAATATGCACTAAAATAAGCTTCTTCAACCTTGTCATTCCCTTTATAGCACATCTTGCTACATGATCAAACCCTTCAACAAGTAACATATGTTTAAAAAACACCTGACTGGTTTCCACACATATTTGATGTTAGAAATGAAACAATGCATGTTCCTGGAAGGCAGTTCTAGGGCTGAGAGGAACTGGAGTGACATGCTGACCTAGTTTGCTGTTTTTAAGTTATTTAGTAACAACCACTCAGACCATTAGAGAGGATTAACAAAATACAATGAACCAATATACAGTTGCATCTTTGTGCAATGAATTATTAGACAAATGTACTTACCCTTAGTGTCTGCCGCAGTGACAGAGAGAGCATGCTTGTGACAGCAGAGATGTGGGGAAAACTGAAAACTTTCAAGGTACAAAGGGTGAATGCACAATCATACTGGAACGATGCCAGGTACATGTGTACTCTGTCACTGATAGAATAAAAAGTGCAATAAATCTGCCTCTGGATTAGTTCTTTGAAGATAAAAAACTGGAAACAAGTGTTGCATCTTAACATCAAACAGGGAAGGAAATAGTTTCTCGAAAATAAAAATAAAAAAATTATTAACATTCAACAATCAAGAAGGCTACTTTAGATTAATGAATATGTACAATATTAACTGTCACTGGCAAGAATAGAGTAAAGAAAGTGTTTATATTTAAACACGGTAAAATGAAGTTTAGAAGATTTAATTACAGAGGATAATGTATCGATGACACCACTGATTTTTTTTGGGGGGGAAATATGAATTTTGTGCTAATAGAAGCAGTTTTTTTTCTATTGAAACTATTCACAAAGCCTTGGCTCAACTGCTTCCTTAAACATGCTTTTCTAATTAGAAACTATGCCAGATGCTTTTTCAATCTTTTGCTTTGAACCTCTCGATTTGTGTAGATGTATGAAGAATATACAGTATAAACAGAAAACGTTCCACTTTCAGTGTCTCTGATCATCCGAGGTGCTGCTGGTTTTGCTCTGCCTGAAAGTTGTGATCCGGACAGACCTTCTGCACCAGCCTGTAGTCTGTTCCGGTAAAAGCGATAAAGATGCATATAACCTTGTAGGGTTTGGCACAAATCCAAGCTGCCTGGGACTGTGTGTTTTCAGAGTAGCATGTCTGTCCTGGGTCGTACATGCACGGCTTGGTCTTCTTGGAGCGGTTGGTTCGCTGGTATTCAATCCGGCAGTTAAGCTCGGTCACCATCATCATGTCTCTTTGGGTTTTTTGATGTTCAACAGGCGTGGAGCTGGTAGACGGAGGGGGGCTCAGATCTGGGAACAAGACAGACTCTTTACTGCTGCTGCTGTCAGCGGTGTCATCCAGAACCTCCCATCCTACTGTTTTGGATGGTGGAACAATGCTGACAGATATGTTTCCAAGACGGGATGAATTGTGGCGGAAGTAGACGCTGAATGTCCCATTAATATGGTCCACAATTTTCCCAGTCACCAGGAGGCTGAACTTCACAGTTTTTACGTTGAAGTAGAAATCCCCCCAGCCCAGGATCTTCTTGGCCTTTGGGGAGGTTTTGGCAGGAGGCTTGGATTTGGGAGGAGTGCCATACAGGTACTGGTCTGGAGCTTGTGAGAAGTTCTGTGGCCAGCCATAGGGGCTCAGGGAGCCATATGTGTGTGTTTTGTGCTTGGTGGATATGATTTGTAGGTCTTTGGATACATGTTTAACCTTCAAAGCTGCTCCTTGAATTTCTCCCCCTGCCTGCACTTCCCTCCACTGCTGGTTCTTCAGGTCTAAAGGCCTGGATGACTCTTGTTCCTGCAGTAAAATAAAACATAACCTAGTTACTCTTAGAGTCTAACAGTATTTCTAATAATTTCCGACTGCATCAAGACAACAGTACCGTAATAGTTGGTGGCTGCGTGGACCCGTGTTGCCGGAGACCTGAGAAAGTTTCTCAATCAAGATGACTAGTGTGTATATAAGGTGGGGAAGGATAATCTCTCTTTGCTGGATGATTACCCCTAATGGTATTACAGCCAAAGACTAAACCAGGAATATCCTTCATGTTGAAATGTGTATTTTTGTGAATCTCATTTAATGTGTAGTCTGCTATTGCTCCAGACAACCAGTGAACTTCAGTTCATCTCTGATCTTCATTGAAAAGGTTTTACCTGTGTGCATCAGATCCCAGTCATCATCATCTGCCCATCCGCTCTCCAGAACAATGTCTATTGCTAGTACCAAAGCTCTGGGATCTCAATCACATTCTCCTGGACCTCTGGGGTACAGTCTGCAAAGCCCGCTGAATCAAACCCCTACAGATCCATGCTACCTTCCCTTCATCTCTAGACTAAGGAAATCTGTTAGTCATCAGTTAAAATGAACCAATTCCTTCCTGATCAATCTGCTTTCTCCCATCAGACCAACATGAAAGTTCAACTGACTTCCTGCAGTTTTCCACTTCCGGATTCTGGTTGCTTTTGTAAATAAAAGGTTAAGACTCATTGGTTCTCCATATGATTCGGCATGTGGGTCAAAAACACTACAAACCAACATGACATAATCATCAGGCCTGTCTGACCCAGCAGAATCTCCCTCAGGTCTTTGCACTGAACGTGAATTACTTAATCACCATGATCAGGTAATCCGCTCATTAGATGTTCAGTTCAGCAGATGGAGCAGTTTTCAGAAATGTTTCAGGAGCAGGTTGTCACCTCAGGAACAAAGTTGGATAGGAAACTGGACTCTGCCTGTATTGCGGTGAAAGTGGTCCCTTCAAATATTCACATGAACTGCAAAGACTATAGATTCATGGAGCAATGGTCTGTGAAACTGTCTACGATCTGCCATGTCTCCAATCTTAAATTCTCAAGAACAGAGAGAGGTCTGCAATAGACCTCTCCCTGGTTTCACCTGAGTATCATGACCTTCATCTGGTTTTCAGTAAGTCTAAGTCTCTCTCTCTCCTCCCCCACCACCCATATGACAATGCTATTGAGCTACTTCCTGGAGCTCCTCTCCCCTCCATTAGGTTGTATAACCTGTCCAAACCTGAGACAGAGTATGTAGAAGCACATTAATAAGTCACTAGTTGCTGCTATTATCTGTGGAAATGTCTCACTAATGCACCTGCAGTTTTTGAGTGCTTTGTGAATGCAGTCTTTAGAGATTTTTTATCAGATTTTTGATCAGTTTTTACCTGTGTACCTTGATGACATTCTGATTTTTTTTTCCAGGACTGTATCAGAACATAAGATCCACGTGTGACAGGTTATCCAATGTCTTCTAGAAATCCAAGTCTTTATCAAAGCTGAGAAGTGTGAGTTTCATACCACACCAATCACCTTTTTGGGATTCATTCTCGAGAGGGGGCAGGTAAGGACAGATCCAGAAAAGATTCCATCCATTGTCCAAAATTTCCTGTCATCCTCGAATCAACTGAACTCTCGCAGTCCTTAAGCAAAATTTCTGGTGGCCTACAATGTATAAGGCTGTTAAAAGTTATGTTCTAGCCTGTCCAGTGTGTGCCCGCAACAAAGCTAGTCACTAGCCTCCCAGTTGTCTTCTTAAACCATTGCTTATACCTAAACGTTCATGGTCTGATATTGCCTTAGATTTGGTTACCTGACTTCCACCATCTAAGGGTTTCACCACCCTACTTACTATAACTGACCACTTCCCCAAAGCCAGCCACCTCGTCGTTGACTTCAATCCCGCCTTGAGACCGATCAGGTCCCGACTAAGCATGTTTTTCGCCTTCATTGAATCCCATGCGAAATCCTTTTGGACAGGGGTCCACAATTTATCTCCAAGGTCTTGAAAGAATTGTGTGCTTCTTTGGGGGCCAAGACTGCTCTAAGTTCAAGTTGACCAAACAAATGTTCAATCTGAACGACTGTAGCAGGAGCTTGAGGCCTCCCTTCGCTGCCTGTTTGTCACACCCATGATCACGGAGTCCTCAGTTGCCTTGGGTCAAATATGCACACACTGGAAAAAAATCTAAATCTAGATAAGTAATTTTTTCTTAAAATAAGTGTATTTGTTCTTGGATTGAGGAAGTTAAAGAGACATTTTGCCAATAGGACAAGACAATTTACATTTTAAATAAGAAAGTGCATATTATCCAATTATCTTATTTTAAGAGTAAAAATACTCATTCCATTGGCAAACTGTCTCATTTACCTACTCAAAATAAGGTTAAATAAACTTAATTTAAAACAGTTTTACTCCTTTCTAGATTGTTTTTCCAGTGCATAATTGTCACACTTCCTCCGCTAATGCCTGGTCTCCATTTGAGTCCTCTCTACAATACCAACTTCCCCTGTTTCCATCTGAGGAGCAGGATATTGCAGGATATTGTAAAGAAAAACTTAAAATTTACCGGTCCTTCATGTGATTCTGCATGTTGGTCAAAAAATCTATAAACCAACATGAGATATACTGGGATTTAATTTGACAATATTAAGTCATGCAGGACAGTAGAGTGGTAAGGAACATGGTTTACATATGTGGCATGCATATACGATAATCAGCAAGTTGGTATATTATTGAATGGTAATTTAGTTAACTCCATTGTCAACCTTTACTTCTGTTCATTTAGATCATTTTTGTTTAAAGATAATGAAAACACAACATCGAACAGGCTATTTTAGCCAGAGGTGAGTAGAGGACTTTACATTTTTATATAGGTATGAGTAGCCCTAATTTTAACTTTATTTTTTACTCAAGTAAAAATAGAACCAAATAGTCCTCGACGAATTTATTAAAGTAAGTAATAAAGTACTTGGCAAATGGCTAGTCAATTATTGAAAAATGTTTTGTTCATAACATCTGATTTAATGTTTATAGTTCAAAATATAAAGTGAAATAAAAGAAACACAAAAAATAACAATATTACAAAATTGTACAGAAGAAACACCTTTCCTAACATAAATAACATAAAAAATAACCTTTAACTTCCCTTTGGGATCATAGATTGTCTTTGTATTGAGCATGCATCACAAAATAATGCATTTACGTATGTTAGGATAAGATAAGAAAATAACAGCAATAATTTCTAATGTTTTATGTATATCCACTTACTCTGGGATAATTCGAGTTACTCTTGATGAGTAACTTGTAAAACATAGGCTTTTAATCTCACAAATGAGCCTCATCAGATGATATATATTCTACTTTATTGAACTTTATTGATTCTTTCACAAGTCTGCTTTACATTTTGACCATCTGAATTGTGTCATTTAATAAACTGTTACTTTAATCTGTGTTATAGGGAAACAAAAAACATTTCCACTTAACTGTTCTTCCTTTCACTTACAAAAACTGAGCAAATGCTTTAAATACGAACTGTTATTCAAACCTTACCTCCTCGGGCCCTCAGACTTGATAAATGCTTTATAAGTATAGGCCATTTACTCTTAACTTTATTTTCTCTCTATTTCCTTTTTGTTTCTATCTTTTTATCTTCACTGTTGCCACACACTTGTTGCAAAGTTAACTGGATCTAAATCTGACTCCATGTTTGGACTGGATTGGAATTGAATTGACCTCTATGAGTTAAGTTTGAGCTCTTATTTTTTTGGAAACTTCCTCAAGATGACATTTATTGTGAATCAGCTAAAATCAACCAAATTAAAGGGAAACTGATTTTAACAAAGCAGATGACAGAATTTCCATAAGAAACCACTTCGAAAGGACATAAGAATGACACAAATTAGCCTTGACCATCAGGGTGACAGCAAATGAAGGACGATTTCACTGTAAGTACATTAAACCCTTTCAAACAATCGATTAAAATAATTATTCTTCAGTCTTTCAGTCTCCTTTAAACCTGGCTCTGATCAATAGGTTATTTCCTCCAGGCATGCAGGCATGCTACGATCAACCTGCCTTTAACAAACTATCATTTGTTTTTTAGCCGTCCTTCATCCAGTCCCCTTGTTCAAACTGTCAGTCATTCTCTGGGTGCAACCTTGATGCTGAGCTCTGTCTGCTGCTTTATCATTAAGTTTAACTCTTTAAAAATCACCACTTTGGTGTACACCAATCACAACCTTAACAACATACTCCCCGGTTTTAACAGCTCCTCTTTACTCCCTCCTATTCATCTTTACCTGAACTATCTTTTTTTTAATATATATATTCTAACATTCTGGCACACTTTAAATGCTTATAGAACTAAGCATTGAATCATTGCATTAAATTCCAGTATCTCATCCACATCTTTATCTTTTATCAAGCATTTTTAGTGTTGGTTTATGTTGCAGCAATAACACTCCTTCTCTCTCCACACAGAAGATGACATTGAATCTTAACTGCTTCTTTCTGTCAATAATGATTAAACAATGAGCACATTTTAACATTGATAGAACAGCTTATTTTAAATCAGACAACATCCTGCTGTTTGGTCTAAAATCCCCCAAAATTAAGCTATTAGTGATTCATTTTAAATGTTTCAGAAATGCAGCTTACCACATAGTTGATATGAAAAGCTGTAATATGTTAAACTTCACAGATGCAAACCAAAGGTATAAATCTTGGAGAAATAGTTACCTGAGCCCTTTTGTTACATTGCAAACATTATATATTTTGTTTGGAGCAATGATTTAATTTTAGGTTAACCCAAGGAAATAATGAAAACTGTCCATTTACTGAGTCAGCTATTGTACTTCCTGCGGAGGATGAGGAGAGCCCACCTGCCCCCACCCATCCTCACCACCTTCTACAGAAGCACCATAGAGAGCGTTCTGACCAGCTGTCTCTCTGTGTGGTGTGGAGGCTGCAGCTCCTCAGACTGGAAGAAGGTGAGAAGTGTGGTGAAAACAGCAGAGAGAATCATCTGGGCTCCTCTTCCCTCCATTACGCACAGTTCAACCCAGCGCGGCTTGTCCTGAGTGACATCATCAGTAACCCCTCACACCCCCACCATGGACTGTTTTCCCCGCTGCCCACTGGGAGGAGACTGCACATTCGATGCAGGTCAAGCACATTCTGCAACAGCTAGCCCCTGTTGTGTCCAAACATTTTGCTGTAAGGGGCTAAATTGTGAAGTTGAAAACGCATGCAGGCCAAAAGATGCAAATACCCTGAATAATAAATGATAAGCAACTGGTGTTGTATTTAAGAGGATTATATTAGTCCGTAGCAATGTTGCCCTAATAGATAAAAAGGTAAATCTGCTGAACTGCTGTGCTTTCCAGACAGATTTGATTTCACATCTTAAGTTGTGGATGGGGGCCAATCAAAATTATGTTTATGGTTTAATCTGAGCAGACCACCCCTCCAAGAAGACCGGATTGGTGTAGTACACAAACTATATCCATCCTGTCAACAGATTATCCCCCTGAGCTGTGAATCTCTGCAGCTGCTCCAGAGTTATGGGTTTAAGCAAGTTGAAATGATATGAATAGGTCTGTATGGAGCTACATGTTTGTTACTCAACAAGAAGCACAGGAAGTTTGGCGCTTCTGTTTACACTGAAGTAAAGGGAAAAAACATGGACAGAGGTTCCTGCCTCTTTTAACCACTTTTTAGAATGCAGAAATCCACAGGTATTATTATTATTCATCTCACTAAAGTGAGCTCCTCAGCACCCCTAACCTACCTTGGCCTGCTCCTGTACCCGAGTGTGCTACAGCTGCACCTATTGTTACAAGCCTAAAACCTCCAGCTATGTTGCTGTTCTCACCCTGCCTAATTGGAGCTCACAATGTGACAGCCATGTCACCAGCTCAGTGTCAAGATGCCAGCACAATGACTGCGACTGAGCATCGGTGGAGAAGACGATGCAAGCACAGTCCTTGTGAGAAAGCAACAGCAAAGGAAAAGTAAATATCATTAACTTGAATTTAAAACGGGAGGAAAAAAAATAGTAAGATGAACGCACTGTGTTATCTAAGCACTTGAAGAATATTCTTGCAGGCAGGAAAATCCTTAATGTGACAGTTTAATATGAGTAAGAAAAACATAAAACAGCAAAGCTCCACAAACCCTGAGGAGATTAAACTCTTTCAAATCAAGAGCCCCTATGAAGTCATTTACTTCAACTTTTAGAGCTTAAAATGGGGTCACTTTGAGGTTTTCACTTAGCAGGTTCTCTATAGAAACATTTGGTTTTGCAATTATTTGGGCAGGAAAATAAATTCAGGAGTGCATAATTATTACAGATATAAATCTCAGGAACCAGAGCAGCTTAGAGGAAGTTCACCATCAGTTAAATAGATCATATATCATGTAGAATAAGACATGTTTTAATTTTACAGATTTTTGTCAAAACTTTACTTGAAATTAGTTTGAATATTTCTGATACGCAAGATTGTCATTAAAAAAGTTCAATAAAAAGCTACTAGAATGTTAAATTTATTTGTAAATGGAGCAATTCTTAGTCCCTTATCAATGCATGCATTTTTAATTCTATAATTTAATAAAAAGAAAGGAGGTGGTTATGATTTAAGTTGGTAACACTGAAGCAAAACCCAAAAGAAAAAATGTATCCATTTATGTAGGCAACAAGAAAATAAATAAAAACACAGCCAGTTTTGCAAAGATAAGAGGTTAAATATTGAGTTTCTGCAAACAGCAGCACTTTGAGTTGATAATGAGCTCAGCCTCAGCAGCAGAATGGACTCACCGTACAGGAAAGGAGACACAGACAGGTGATGGCAAAGTTCAAACAAAGAGCCTTCATACTGTAGCAGCAGTCGCCCATCCACAGAGCTACGGTGTGTTTGTCCGAGTGTTTTCGGGAGTTAAAGCCTTTACTCTCACTTGTCGGCTGGAGGACACTCTAGAAATCCCCTGGATTTGAAGTGATTCTGCTCAGCTCTTCCCCTCCTCAGCACTGTGCCTCTTTCTCCCTCACTCCTGTTCAGCACATAGAAACTCTCTCTCTCAAACACACACACACAAGTCAAACTTAAAAATAAAATAAAAAAAAAACTGAAAAAAAAAGAATTGCCTAAGCAACATTTTACTTGGTAACTACAAACCTACTGCTGAGCGGCTCAACATCCACACGCACACACCCTTCATATGCCTCTGTGCTCATTTTCAGCACCTGGCTGGCCCTCATTATGACTCATCAACCCAGGGAAAGGCGCTCTGAGGCAGGCACAGTTTGACAGCCATCCCTGCTGTCCCCATGTACTTTAGCCGCAGGGAGGCTGACAAAATGACAAGGACTTTCTTCGTGAAAAAAATAAATAAATAAATATACTGACAACTGGTGAGCGTCACATTTTCACTCCTTCACTGGAAATTCAAGCCAACTGATCTCCCCCAAACCACGCAGAGAGAATATCTTAAATAAAGATCCAGGGTGAACAAGTGTGATAATGTCAACATGATCTACTTGATTCCAGTCGTTTATCCTACTATCATATAAGCCTTGTGAGCATCTTCAAGTCCCTTAGATTATGAATTTTATTCAGGTCTGGGCTTCTACTGGACCATCCTCAAACTTAAAAATGCTCTCATCTAAATAATTTAACAGGAGCATCAACTTCGATTTTAGAGATCATCGTCCTGCTAGAAAGTGAAGCTGTCCTGAGTTGTGTGTCAGAAACTGCAGGAATGCTACCATCTATATTAAGTTATCATTTTCCTATTAATTCTGACTAGCTGCCCTGATGGATTTAGGGCTATGGGAGTAAATATGGCAAAGAAACACCTCACTTTATCCATTTAAATTTGAAAAGGTTCAAAAGAACCTTTATCCCTTTCCATCCACCATGCTCCTGTTTGTTGGTGTCTGATAAATTTCCAGCCAAATACATGAAATATGAGGCAGGAATGTTTAAAATTTTACTGATTTACTGATCAAAGTTTACTGATTTTTTTTTCATCAGCTAAAGGTAATTTACTATTATCATGATTATAAGCACCTAATGTCCAAATTGAATTATAAAGGCTGTAGTGCTGTAGTAAGCATTTGCCTCATGCTATTGACATTAAATTTACATTGCTGATATTTCTGAAGAAAGTTACTTGCTTGTTGTTTTATTGGGTCAACTATCCTGTAGACATTATGATTTTATCCATTAAAAATAAATAAATAAATAAAAAAAATATATATATATATATATTAAATATGCAGCAAATCTGGAACATAGTCACTTTGCTTGATAATACCAGTGAGTAGAAAGTATGTATTTTTACTTAAGAACACCAAAAACAACACACAAAAAAAGTAAAGAAAACCCATTAGCTGTGCTTGTACCCACTTCTTCTTCTTTCTAAGGTAAGACAAAAGCGTCATCAACATGGCATAAAAAGCTTCAATAACATGGATACAATAATCACAGTTTGCATAGTAATCGCTCTAAATAGGCATTATAATCTATTTACATAAAACAGATATCACAGAAATGTTAAACATGGCTTTATATCCAATTAAAAAATAGCTTAAGTATTTTTTAATCTGATATAAGCTGCTAACAAGCAGCAATTGCAAAGGAGAACCAGGATAGAGTGCTCTGTGCTTGATGTTTTTGAAGTATGTGTTAGTTATATTTTATTATCTGATTTGATTCAGTCAATATTTTAATAAGTTTTATTCTCGCTGTGTTTATAAAAGGTCATTGTTAGTGTTGTTAGTGTTGTTAGATCATTGTAAAATGAGATCTTTTAAAATGAGATTGGATCTCAAAGAGACCTGCATAAGTCAAGTTTAGTCTTGTACATATTTTGACGGAAAGGTGACGTAAAATGCACATTGCCACTAGATGGCGCACAATTTACCCTTTTTTTTTCTTTTTGAGTTGCAGAAAATAATATGTTGTCAAATTTCCGCCTGGATTGAGGGGTTCCTGAAGGCAACTGAGTGGTCATTAATGAAAATAGTAGAGCAGGGAGATATGTTTTTATTTATTTATTTAATTATTGTTATTATTTTTTAATTGTTGTGGTTCTTTTGAATATTCGCTTTAGATCAAAGTGCAAGTTTATGAACTCTACTTGGTATTCTTTGACATAAACCTTTGGTCTTTTTAAAATTCCTATTAAATTATGACGACTTTCTAGTAAATGGATGATGATGATGATGATGTGGACATCTTGAAGGCCGCATGTTTCTTCAGAACACTGCTATAATGGCGCATGCGTGGGATTGATTCATTGCATAAAAAGCGAGATATTTGCATTTGTTTAGTATACATTAAAAAGCACTAATTGGAGGATTTATGACATGAAAGACAACCCAGCCATTTCTTCCAAAACCAATCTTTGCAGCGATGCCAAAGTCAACCAATTCCCACAATGCATTGCGCGCAAATTGTTCAATATTTCATTTTTATTTATTTTTTTATCCGATTTCTTTTTATTGTAAACAAGTTATCTTTTCGGGGAAAAAAAATATTTTGAATAATTTTGATTGCAAATTCTTAGATGTTGTTTATTTCTGCTTTTTTGTTTTGTTTCAAGAACATTTTTATAACGCCCTATTTCATTGTAGCATTATGCTTGATTTAATTCAACTTAATAATTGGGTCTGAGTATACTGGCGCTTTTTTTATCAGTGCATTTTTACCCTTTATTTTTTATACTATGAACGATGTTATAATGATTATAATAGAAAATGGCCACTAGGTGTCAGTATTTAACTAAGGCCTAATATGTAGTTTGTTATAAAGGAAAGAACAGCTGTGAAGTCAAGCAGTAGACACTCATGCATTAAAATACCAACAATTATACGAAAACAAAGATGAAGCCACAGAATAAAATGTTCAATATTAAAAAAAAAACAGAAATATTTGGAAGCAAAAACCTGGTGAGTTTTAAAGACATTTAAATGTTGTGTAAATAATTGCCATTATTTGTAATTGTAATACAACAATTCTATGAAACCTTTTTTTAAGTAAATGGACCTGACTTTATTTTACTTTTCAACTGCTTTACAATGGTGCTATTGAGGTCCTCACAACCATACAACGTTCCTTTAGAGAAGATATTTAGATGGCAAAACATTCCAACTCCACAAAGTCCATAAGCAGAGATAGTATGCCTTTTAGCTTTTATAAAACACCTTAAATTTTATGTTGTAATTACAATAAGCCTCAGATCAAATATTTTTTACTTCAGTGGTACTGAAACAAAGAATAAAATATTTTGTTTGTTTAGAGGGTTTATTTGATGTCACAAGAATCTGGTTTTCAACTGTATAATTCTCTACCTTTAACCAGGCACACCTGGCACAATTCAGCAGGAAAACAAACACATATATAATAGAAACATTTACAAAATAAATAGGCTATGTTAAAAACATTGCTGTGAATTCAATTTTAATTAAAAAATACTTTCTGAGTCCCAAATGGAAATTCAAAGTTTTAAAGCACTTTTTAAATGGAAAACAGCATACAATCTTCTCTGCAAGGGATCTATTAGCAGAACACCTCTGAACTTGGTAATATTTCATTACCTGATTTGAAAGAGGTCCTCCTCTGATCAGGCTTCAGTATGGGCACCCTGACTTGTCTGAAACTGCTGCTCCAAATTAACAAATAGAAATGTACTGTACTTTTCTGTCAGACATGGCATTCAATTTTTCAGTAATTTGAGCTCCCATAGCATGGCTATAGGATACATTAATGGACTTTGATCAGAGTCTAAACCCCAGACTCCATAAATCAGTCAGCTTTTAATTCTAAAATCCCTTATACTAAGATAAAAACTAGAAAAATCCCAAAACAAATTTGAACATCATTGCTACGTCTTACAACTTTATTTTCTATTTCATCTTTATTTAGCACAAGTTTAACTCCTATATAATTAAATAAAAACTGCTACTGTACTTTTTTGGCACCGCTCAAGAATACGTGCCCAGAAGCCTTAAATAAAATCATTCCTATAAACAGTTGCCACCCTGAAATGTTACTCTCTCCCATTGTCCTTTTGCACTGAATCTTGGAGAATTCATTTTATTTCACTTCTCTTACTAACTTATTAATTCTCATTTTGGCATGATATTCCTCTGCAAAATGTTACACATTTATTTAATGTTTTCGTTATCAGAAAGGTATTCAGATATTGCTGTTTTTCTTGCTTTTCTCTTCAAACCTTTCACTTCAAATGAATCGTGCATCGCTGCCCCCCAAGCATAAGCTCAAAGAAGAATAGGAGAACATGTGCGGTAAGTCAAGCAAAAAAGCATGCATTGTTTTGTTTTCCACATTTTGATGATGTCATATTTATACACAGGAATTCATCAATAACTTATTAAATTTTACTAAGCTGTGTTTAATGTGTCGGTTGAACTCATATTGTAGGAATTTCTGGATGTTAATGAATGTTGCGTTATGAATGTTGCAAATATTATTATTATTCTAATAAACTATTAATGCTTAAAAAGTGTTTAAGATAAAAATATTTGCTAAAGAACATCATTAAGTTAAAACAGGTAGGACTGAAGTTAAACAATTTCCCAGTTAATTACTATCTAGGGTGCTGTTTATGCAACCATAAATGAAAGAAATATCACCATGGTTTGAATGTTATAATTCAGTTAATGAAATGTAAGTTAAATGAAAATTAACTAAAGGGGGAAAAAATACATGGGTGGGGCGACAGTGGCGTCAGATGCAGGAATTTGCCCTGCAATCGGAGGGTTGTTGGTTCAAGCCTTGGCTCCAGTTTTCAGTGTCGTTGTGTCCTTAGGCAATACACTTCACCTGCATTGCCTAACGATGGTGATCAGAGGGCCCGATGGTGCCTGTATACAGCAGCCTCACTTCTGTCAGTGAGCCCCAGGGCAGCTGTAGCTTGCCACCGTGAATGACTGAATGCAGTGTAAAGCGCTTTGGTGACTTGAAAAAGCCCTATATAAGTACAGGCCATTTACCATATATTAATTTTACCTCTTTAACACCAGAAAGATAGTTACATTTTATCGATTGTTAAAACCTGAGTTTGAAAATATCAGCAAGCACGTCCAAGACAGAAATGGATCACAGCAAGCACAATAAAAAGCAAACCTAGTTCCTTAGGTATTATGTTGCAGGTATAAGAACAGCACATCTCTTGGTTTTGTCAAACACTGACTAGTTTGTGTTGATTTCTTGTATTACAGTCTTTTTTTCTTGCATATTAATAATAATTTTTCATATCACTGTGATCTCCTGAAGTAGATCTGCAGGGAAGTAGCCCAGTTTGCGTCCTGTGCTGACCTTCAGGTAGCCCCCTTTTTCATCCCCTTTCTTCACTACGATCTAAAATAGAGATGCAAGGAGAGCATTAGATTTAGTAAATCAGTTTAGTTACCGGTACTTTCTTTCTTAAAAATCTGTCATGTATTGTTTATCTTATAACATCTGGTCCAATTTGAAAAAGTTACCTGATCTTTCTTGAGTGTAATTTGTCCCATTTCTCTGTTACCAACGAAGGAACGGGTCACCTTAAAAACCCTCTCAGATGCACGCACTTTTATGAGATAATTGGCAGGGAAGTATCCAGTCTTTTCCCCCATCTTCCCCTTTTAACACAAAGCTCAGTATTAGAGTTAACTGTAACAGTAGTAAAGAGGAAAACTTTTTCATTTTGTAATGGAAAAGTTTAACTCACTCTCCACCACTCTTCATTGGAATCATCCAGCACTATGATCCGATCTCCAGGGCTAATGAAGGAAAATGGAGTTTAAAGATGTTTGGTCAATAAAATCTTCATGACCAATAAAGTGAATATATTAAGAGTTGTTTTTTTTCACGTACTGAAAGTCAAGGTCATCTTTCTCAATGGCTTTGAAGCGGTACAGAGCCGTGTAGTAGTGGGAGCCAGTGAAGGCCCCTTTAGCCTGTTGATGATCCAACATTTGAAAACAATGCAGGTCTGAAGTTGTTGAATAAATAACATAAACATGGCTCCCACCTTGTCGTCTGTCTTGTCTCCACCTTTTTCTTTTTTATTATCTTCAGGTTTTCCTGCATGAAAGAAAAAATAGAAAAAAATGGCAATATATATATATATATATATATTAGATTTAGATTAGATTTAACTTTATTGTCATTGCACAGGTACAGGTACAAGGCAATGAAATGTATGCAGTTTAGGTCTAACCAGAAGTGCAATGGCAGCAAGTGCAGAATAAATAATGGTTCTATAGATACAGGACATGGGTTCTACTGAATAAGTATAGAGATGAATACCATTATAAACAGAATCTTACTAATAGATGAATATAATATGTAGATAACTAGTTTTATGAACTAAATTTACAGCTGGATATGTACCGAATATAATTTACAGGTGGATATTACTATAAAAGGGGTTTTTACAGTTATGTGCAACAGCATATATACAGATGGGTTTTACTTTAAAATGAATACATAAAGTTTGGACAGAAGCTATCTTAATTAAAGTGCAGTGGAAGGTAATTGCATATTACAGTTACAGTAAAGTACGTTATTGCAGATGTCAATGTAAATGAGTATCTACCCTTTTAGTTGACCTAAAATTAAATATTTCCCAATTTCAGTTGTTTGTACAAGTCGTTGTTTTTGTACTTCAGAGTATTTATGATATTATCTCATAATGCATCATCATTTTAGTTTTACCTTCTCCTCCCTCCTCGTTTTCTTTGGGTTGCTGGTTTTCTTCTTCCTCTTCTTCCATCATCACCATCTAGATGAACAGATGTTTTAAAGATCAGCTCTTTAACTGAAATTCATAACTATATTTTAGATATGCATAATTTAGATATTAAAAACATGTTCAAATTTATTGCCGACTCTGGCAATGACGTGTTAAAAGTCTTGGTCATGGTCATGTTCAACTCTGTACTGAAGTTGATTTACATGAGCATTTATCTTTATAATCCTGGAAATAGCCTTATTAAACAGCTGTTTATGTAAATAAATGAGCACCCACGTTTCCCGCTTTTCTTTATGGACCATTAATGAATGATTAATGAAAATAAATAAAAAGATCTCAAACTCTCACTGTTATTGATTTATAGCAAATTAAGCCAAGTTAGTTCTTGTGGCGTATAATGCTAATAGATTTGAAGAAGAATATATTTATAGCTTATTTTATGTGGGTGGTGTTGTATCCTGCAGGCACCTCAAAAAAACATTATTCTTAACTATGCTTTTTTCCTTATGATTAAAATGTCACCAAATACTCACATTTTTCTTGTCGTTTTCATTCTTTTTACGCTCCTTGTTCGCCATAATGACACCGACCCTCAAGGTGTCAAAGACTGGGTCATTCCGGTTTGGGTTGTCTGGTTTTTTAGCACAGAATTTTAAAACCGGAAAATTAATATCAGCAATTCGACAGAAAGTGTGTATTAGTGTTGATCATTTAACAATCTATTTGAAATGTGGGAAAGATAGTAATCCAAATTTAAAATTTTTTCATTTTTGATATAGGTTATAGTTACAGTGGCTCAGGTTATCCGGCGCTAACTCTATAGTTATGCTGCTATAGGCTTGGACTGCTGGAGGACATGGGGACCGCTTTTCATCATTTTGCTTCATCCTATCTCTATTCTCCCATTCTGCAGTATTTGTTAGTTCAATCTCTAACTTTATGCTCTCTCTGCTGTTTCTTAAAGTAGCTTCATCTGGTCTGTTCCTGATTGCCTGTGACACCATCCTATAGAGAAATATCAGCTGTGCTTCTGCCATCAACACCTTTGTTTATAGATGTTGGAGCTTGGCCTGTTTTTCAGTGTAGTCCTATTTGACTGACTGGCTGGATGTGCTCATTTTATCCTCTGACATGGGAACTGGCTCAGAGCTTGTTTGCCTGGCTGTGTGTTTTCAGGGCACGGTCGCCTGTGGAGCTGGTTGACAGTTGCCTTTTGTATCTTTGCTTCTTTCTGTATGTCTGCTTCTGTCTCCTTGAACCCCAATCGTGTCGGCAGATGGCCGCTCACACTGAGCCTGGTTCTGCTGGAGGTTTCTTCCTGTTAAAAGGGAGTTTTCCTCTCCACTGTCACTACAAGCATGCGTGGTGTGAGGGTTTGCATTTGATTCAATGAGTCGATGCAATCAGCTGGATTTCCTTAGATAGAAAACTGAAGCAACCTGACTGTATGATCTGGTTTAGATGTTTCTGTATAGTGCCTTGTGATGACATGTGTTGTGAATTGGCACCATATAAATAAACTGAACTGAAACTGAATTGAAAAAGTTTGGTAGACTCACTTGAATCCGGTTGGTCGCTGCTATAAAGGGGCGAACTGTAGGCCCTTCTGAAGCCAGGTGGCTGCAGAAAACATGTTTGAATTTGTGAAACAATATTTTTATTGGTGCAATAATATATTAGATATATAAATACATGTGCTGCATACTAAAGGAAAACTCACAATTTTGCCAAAACACCTCTGGAACTCGACATAGTGCTGACATGAATGGTGGATGTTGGTCTTGCAGTTCTTACACCTCAGACAAAATTTGTTGTTCACTAAGAGGCATCCAAAGTCATGTCAGTGATATTCATGAGGTTAAAGCAGTGCCCTAGTTGTAGTAAATATACCAATTCTATAGAAATATTAAAAACAGAAGGACCAATTTGATACATACAAACAATCATTCGAGCACAGACATCACAGAACTTTGGTTTCTTGCAGTAATGGTCCTTAAACTTGTGGGGTTTATCATTGACCCGAATAACAGGTGGAGGAGGTTCTGGTTCCTTCTCCTCGACCTCTACCTCCTCCTCATAAATGAAATAGACCTGGAGAAATGAAGAGAAAGAAGGATTTATTTTCCTCATTTGGGAAAGGTTTGTGTGTAAAGTGCTAATTAGGAATAGAGTTATTGTTATTAAAAAGCTTTTTATGAAAGGGATAGAAAATAAACTCCTTAGTCGATTAAAATAATAAAAAAAAACTAGCTTTAAACAGCTCGAACTCTTCTACACAATCCAGCCCTGGGAATGCCCTGATAATACCAGCTTGTTTTTGGCATGGCGTAATCACTCACAGTGTCTCCATCTTCCCTCACAAAGTTATCAGGAGCCGGAGGATTGTCATGAATGTCCACAGAGTTCTTATCATCCTCCCTAACTCACAGATAGACACAGAGATACAAACACACACACACAAAGGGGGAAAAAATGAGATCAAGAAGAGGTCAAAGGGTAATTCTGAGATAAGAAAGTTCTCTTGAACATGCTAGGCAGCTAATGGAAATTTCATGTATATATATATATATACTTTGCAGGAATTTGGGCTCAGACTGTTGGGGTTTATCTCTGCTGATCTTTGACTTTTTGAGAAACGTTTGTGCCCTTTTTGCTTTCCCAAATAGTTGAAGCTCAGTCGAACTGTATGGAGTTCAACTATGAATAACTATTCTCAGGTTTTGTCAGGGATGCTCAGATGGATTTAGGTACTTATTCTCAACCATGTAGCTCAGGCTGCATGGTTTTCAGGCTGTGGGAAAGTTAACCTTGATCCTGCTGTCCAGTATTTTGCCATTTCTTACAGCTTTTCTTACAGGAAGATCCTTTGGTCAGCTGGGCATGCATATCACAGCATGTTGCTGTCACCACTCTGTCAGGTTGTGGGGATGGTATATTCAAGGTGACATTAAGTATAACTTTTTCTCCAGCCCTTGTATTTTGTAGTAGGTATGGAAGTTTCACTTGGCTCTTATCTGGGATCAAGAATCAAAGAGTTAAAAATGTTTTTTCTCTAAATAATGCTCTCCTCTCATGACCTTTGAGTTGGTCTTGGTAGGTTTGCAGTTATTCATTTTCAGATGGTGAATTGAACAGAACTCAGTGTCCAAAGCTTGGGAAACCCAGCTTTAAACTTCTCCACAAGATCACCCTGACCCACCTGCTGTGGAAAGCATAGAGACATTAAATCTGTACAGCAATAGAAGCATGCAGGAACCGTACTCACTGATCCATGCTGCAACGCCAAACTTTTCAATTTACCAAAACCTAAAAGCAATCAAAAACATTACACTGTAGCATCACTGTGTTTCTTATTCAACATGATTGTCAAACCAAAAACCATAATCAAAACCAATGAAAAGTGAAAACACTTAAAATTCAGGAAAGTATATAACCTCATCTTCATAGGGGGGCACTAACTCATCATATGAGGGAACCAGAGGATTTATTTGACATGTATTGAAAGGAAATATGTTTAGGCCACAAACGAGAAATAAGTTCTGCATTTTCATCTGGTGCTGATGAACCCCATTTCTATTGCTGCCCTGAACATCTTCCTCTATCACTCATAAAAAAGAGCCATCGTTTGTGTGGCAGTTAAAAGGGTTGATATTGTTGGAATTCCTTTAAAACAATCAAAAATTAAACTTAGCTATGAGTGAAAGCATGTTAGTTAAATGATATGAAATAGTGGAAGATGAAAACTACAGAGAAGCTTTTACTATTAAATGAATAAACTACAGGAAAAAACTAAAATAAATCCAAAACATGCAGCTATAATACATTTTTCTCAATCTCTAAGCTGGTCACCTGCAGCACAGACAATCTCTGAAGACATTTGTTAGCTTAAACCAAACTATTTTTGGTTTGTGATATTGGATCTCGTCACAACTAAATTTGGAAGCTGTTGCCAGTAAAAAAAAAAAAACAAAACAAAAACATAAAGCAGAATTTCAATAGATGATCCATGTTTAAAAAAATACTGCTTTTACAAACTGATTGAAGATTGCCTGGGCAATCGGACATAACTTTCCCATAGAAACTGATGCAAACTACCCATGAATTGGAGCTCCTCTTGGCCCGTAAAAAAAAAAGTTTAACAACAACATTAAAATAATACACAAATCGACTTACCTTTTGTCCAGACTTGTAAAATGACTCTTAATGTTAGAAACTGGTGAAAATGACTGCTGTCTTCACCAGCATTGGACCTCTGCAGTGTTATTAGCTCAGAGCAGCTGAGTCTAAGAATGAAGTTGCCCAAAACGTTGCCTCACGTCTTAAGGATCCGTCTCTCTGTACTCCTTCTTATGTTTTCTTTAGGTTGGTTCTTCTCTGTTATTAGTTTCTTTCTGTGACTCAAACATTTGTAGATTTGTGAAGTTCTTTGTGACGGATATCCATGGTTTTCTGCGTGTAATTGTATGCAATGCCAGCTGAGCTCTGCTATGTGAAGTTGACAGGTTGGAACAGCTGAGGAACTCTGACTGAGCACCAGTGACGATGGAAATCAGATACATTTTCTCTGAGTGGCTTCATTAAAAATATACACACATCTCTTTTATCTAGTCCCTCCTGTTTTACAGGCAACAGAAATACACACAGAGACAAGCTCAGGTATTTATATGTAATTTAAAATTACATTTGAAAGTCATGGGGTGGTTAATATTTTAAAGATTAGTTATATAGAGAGGAGAAAATAAAATATCATATCTTAAAAAGTAAAATTAATTCATGGTTTACTGAGATTTACACTATGGTAATACAGCTGTTTTAAGGCATAACTTTACAACTAATATGCAATATTTTGTCTTTATTTCTGTTTTTTTATTTTCACAAATTTTAATACTTTTTAATGTTTTCTTTTTAGGTTGTTGTATTTTTGTGGTATTTCATTAGACACAAAAAAAACTGCATTAAAAAGAGAAGTCATAT